AACTTTTTCCCGAAATGGACGACAAAAATAAAGTGCTTGAAGAACTGAATTACAGTAGCAGGTATTCCCAAACTAGAATAGAAAAAAAAAAAAAAGAAGCAAGAGATCATTTGATGTAGGCCATACAAAATTTTGGTTATGATAAATTCTGACACAAAACGGGGGAAAGAAAGGGAAAAAAAAAAAAAGGAAAAACGAAACTGTTTTAAAACTCTTAAGACCTTGGGCAACTTTATTTCCCTTCCATTAAAGAGAGAATTCAAATCAAGTTTCTTGGCCTTAATCCTACTGATGCGAATAAACAATTTTCCTTTAATAAATTATGAAACGCATTCATCATTTTTAAAACTATTTGCAACGATACTGGTGAAGGCTAAGTATCAATGGATACTTACATTGACTAATCCAAAATAGTGCTCATTGACTGGAAACTGTTCTGGACCAATCTCTTTCTCTAATGCCGAGGCATTGGCGCCCTATAAAATAAAAAAACAAATGTTAGTATTTGTAGTATTTTCATAGTTATATAGGCATTACAGAGAAATCCTTTATTTTTTAAGATTTTATTTATTTGACAGAGAGAGACACACAGAGAGAGAGAGCAAGCAGGGGGAATGGCAGACAGAAGGAGAGGGAGAAGCAGGCTTCCCGCTGAGCAGGGAGCCTGACGCGGGACTCGATCCCAGGACCCTGGGATCATAGACCTGAGCCAAAGGCAGACGCTTAACGGCTGAGCCACCCAGGTACCCCAGCAGAGAAATCCTTTAAAAAACTATGTTCCCTCTGACTCCCTAACATTACTGGAGGAAAATAAAGGAAGATAGTGAAGAGTAAAGGATATCAATAATATGACTAAAAACCAGTTCACAAGAACTTCCTCAGGAAACCGATGCGTGGATCAAGAAATTATATTTATAATGTGCTACTTTTTTTCTAGGTAATGGACTAAAGCCCCTGCTGTAACAGGAGAGCTGAAATCACGTATGCAGATAGTCAATGACCTAACAATTCTTTGGCGGTATATACCTGAAAAGTCCCCACACAGAGCCCAAAGCGACAAGAATGTTGTGTGAAGTAGCACTGATGATTGCCCAGCAGACAACCAGCATACTACGTAACAGAGACAGAACAACGGAACTGGGTTCACATACAAAAGCATGTCTCAAAAACATAATGTTAAAGAAAAACAATGAGATTAACACATATATAAAAAATAGCACATGGCCAATGGGCTGAAGAATGTACATGAAACATACTTGAATGGGTGCCGAAAGAGGACTGGGACATGGAATTGGGGATGAAGGATAAAAAAGGAAAAAAATAAAATGAAATCCAACAAAAGAAGGGCCTTGCCCAGACAACGACTGAGTGTCATGGTCTTGGGAATACGACTGACTCAACTCTGTGCACAGAGGTCCCTGAAAAAGAGGGCGGGGGCAGGGTGCCCCTGAGTACTGACACATGCCACTAAATGGACTCCAAACACAGCTGGAAAGAGAAATGACAGCAATTCTGAACACATAACTCTGGCTATGTTTACTTGAAAATTCCCAAGAAAACATACCACCACAGACATGACACCATATCAGTTTTATTCACAAACTACCTGAACACCACTTTGCAAAGTTGCACACAAGACAACACACACTCTAGGCCTCCTCCAAGGCACTGACATGAGGTTAACACCCCGTGCTCAGAAGCCCACCCCTGTTGTTTCCTGACTGAGCTCCACTCCTGGACTGGGGAAGCCCAACCTTTGTTAGACAACACATCCTCAACTTCCTGATTGTAAGTACTGATTAAAGGGACCTGGTGGACGGGTGGTCAAATTCTACCAAAACAAGACATTTCCTTTAATATCCTCCAGCCATCCAGCACTTGTATATAAACATGATACTGCCTTTATTTTTTTTTTTAATTTAGAACTTATTTTAGGCTTTCTACAAAACCTTGATAATAATCGCTAGTTTATAGATAACCATTTATTTCTAATTTGGCCATCCACTGTTTTGTAACAACATCAAATTCAATTATCACAGCAACTTCAAGATCTACTGAACAAATCTGTCTTGGTGGAAATGTTGCAAGCCCCACTCCCCATCGCTGCCAGCTCAAGTTATCACGTCATAAAATTTCCTCACATACGCTGAAAAGTATCAATAAGCCCAGATGTTTACCACTTACTATAATAATTCAAACTGATATTAGTTTATTCAAATTAAGTATAACCCCTTCCCCACAAAACAGAAGAGGAGGAGGGGGAGGAAGTGGGGGAGAAGGAGAAAGAAGAAAGGTTCTATTATCCAAAATACAATCTTATTACATCTATTTATGTGGAACAGTAAAACGCCAGTACACATAACTCAGGAAAGCATTTCTGGCCCTTAGGATGAACAGAATAACATGTGAACATTCTCTGCCCAGGCTAATGCCAATCACACACAACAGACCGTGTATTCTAACCAGGCCAGACGATCCACTTATCCGCGTCCCACCCCCCCCGCCCCCACCGCCCACATCATAGACTTTCACGCACTGCTTAGAAAATCCTCCAGCTGTCCTGCATCCTCAAGGTAAGTCTGACTATGGATCAAATTATTAGCTTCTCTGCACCTCAGTTTCCTTAACTACAAAAGGAAAATGTCACCAACTCCTTTATAGGATAGCTACAAATGAAAGGAATTTAAACCTCTGTGACAGCATCCTGCAGTGCCCGTTCCATAGGCAGGTGTCCCATAAACGTTGGTTTCCTTCTTCCCCTTCCCTTCAAATTCAAGGGGGCAAAAAACTACCCTCATTAGCCAGTAATGGTAATAAGTATCTGCTCCGTGCAACAGCTAAGAAATAAGAGAAGAAAACAAGTCAGAAGAAAAAATGAGATAGCTATTATTAAAAAACTGGCTCTCCTCACTCTAGCCAATTCCACCTAGAGGCCCAGACGCACAGTCACTGTACTCTCCAAAGGGCTGACAGTAAAGCAAAACCACAATCCAATCAGAGGTCTGGGAAGAGGATGCTAAGTGTGATAAAATGGAAACAGCCATAAACCATAGTCATTTAACCTTTCTGGATTTAAGAAGCTTCATTTGTGAAATAAAAGGGTTCATCTCCTCACTGATTTTCAAAAACCCCAGCTCCAAGTTTATCTGTTGGATTTTCAAGTAATCCTTTACCCAAATTAAGGTTTTCACAGCTAAGTATGTTTAGAAAATTAAGACTAGGTAATTTCTAAAGTCTCTTCTAACTCAACATTCTAACATTACTAATCACTTTTATCAACATTTCTGAGGACATTTACTATATCAACACAAAGCTCCATGGAAGTCCAAGCCAACCAATATATGCCAAACAACACAGTTCAAAAGGGAGAGATTATAGCGACAGATGGAGTAAGGGGAGCAGATCCAAAAAGAAAGTTCAAAGAGAGAATGGAATTTACTTCATGACAGTTCTAAATTAAAGTGCAGCATAGTAACATATACCTTACCATGATAATGATGCTGTATAATGCAGATTCTGTGAATGTGCAGGAGGTTATTCTTACAGCATGAATTCAAGATTTTCTCTGTAGAAACAGAGTACATCTCTACCTCTAGCTGAATGCTAACTACAAAGGCAAAGAGGAGACTAAGTAATTCAGACTCTGGTGACTGGTTTTCAGCACTAGAGTTAGATATAGCTGGGGAAAAACAGCCACCAAGCCAGAAGTTTGCTGTATAATTTTTAGTATCTTCAGAAGAGTTCTCAATGTTATCCCTTGAAGATTTTGTTGAAGGCTGACAAACCCTATCATGTCAAATAATGGTCAACGAAGCACCCCAAGGTTTAAATTGAACCTAGAACAAGTCAATATCCAACAGTAATGGCTCTGAACAATTCTCCATCTCTACACTTGAGAAATATGATCCCACCACAATTAACAGTAGTTTATTAAATCAGTGATGATTTACCAGGAAAAAGGAAAGAAATGGTGGCCATGCTCAGGTTAAGAATTTCTGCTCTAGGGGCGCCTGGGTGGCTCAGTCGTTAAGCAGCTGCCTTTGGCTCAGGGTCCTGGGATCGAACCTTGCATCGGGCTCCCTGCTCGGCGGGAAGCCTGCTTCTCCCTCTCCCACTCCCCCTGCTTGTGTTCCCTCTCTTGCTGCGTCTCTGTCAAATAAATAAATAAAATCTTTAAAAAAAAAATTTCTGCTCTAAAGCTTTCATAGGTATCAGGATTCTTCTCTTTCATATGAGTACACGACACAGAGAAGGAAGAAGATACACTTTTCTGATCATTCTGTCTCCATTTTTGTAACTTACACAAAAGATTATTTTAGAGTCAGTACCTATTACTACAGAATTCATCATAAAGAAGCAATGAGGTATTCATGACCCTCCTGATGAAGATGGATGAATTTTAATATTAAAAAAATAATAATTTACTGAGCTGGTGAAAAAATGAGGACTCTGCAGGAAAGAAAGAACAAAATGATGGGAGAACCCTGGGAGATAGGCCAATGCCAAAGACAGATTTTACACTGAGGGTATTTGTCAGCACTAATGACCTTTACACTCTTTTCTGACAGCTGAATGAAATGGGAGTGCAGGGAAACCTAAAACTTGGGACGACAGGAAGGCTAACAGAAGACCTGAGCATGACACTAAGATTCCAAAAGGGCTGGATCTTCATGTCAGGGGGAGCAAGAAATAATCCTCAACCACAAGAGGAGGCAGCAAGGAAACATGCGTGACATGTCCTTGGCACTGGGGGTGGAGGTTAGCTTCAAAAAATTCATAACCCCAAGCTGACCCTCATGAAAGACTGTAACCTAAATCCACGCAAGCTGCATGATCTTAAACAGAACCACTCAAGCAGGTAATGATATTCAGAGAGACCCTGAGCTGATGGCACCCTCTTCACCCAACAACTAGCAGAACCACAAGTTCAATCTGGAAAATGAAGTTAATCCACCCCACAAAAAACTCCCACAACTAAAACTCCAAGAGATTTGAGTTCAAAATCAAAACTCCTACACATACACAAAACAACGGGAAAACAGAGCACTGTGAATAAAAGCCAGCAGAAGCACAGACAGCAGAATTAGACTCTCAAGATATTCACTATCAGAACTATTTCAGACAGGACACAAAACAAATGCTTACTATGTGCCAGGAAATAACAATTGCTTGATTATAAGAACAGAGATGAGACTCTAAAGCCTAAGCAGATTTTGTGAAAGAACTGAATCAAACTTCTAAATATAAAAATTATAATAATTGAAACTAAAAACTCAATGGTAACTATGAAAGGCAGTAAAAAAATTGGAAGTTGAGGAGAAGGAGGGATGAATAGGCAGAGCACAGAGGATTTTTAGGGCAGTGACAATATTCTGTATAATACTATAATGATGGATAGGTCATTATACATTTGTTCAGAACATATACCAAAAGTACACAGTAACACGAACTATGGACTTTAGGTGATTATGATGTT